TCACATCTAGACACGCTGTGGGTGTCTCTTAGTCACATCTAGACACTCTGTGGGTGTCTCTTAGTCACATCTAGACACGCTGTGGATGTCTCTTAGTCTCTTAGCCACATCTAGACACGCTGTGGGTGTCTCTTAGTCACATCTAGACACTCTGTGGGTGTCTCTTAGTCACATCTAGACACACTGTGGGTGTCTTTTAGTCACATCTAGACACTCTGTGAGTGTCTAGATGTGACTAAGAGACACTCTGTGAGTGTCTCTTAGTCACATCTAGACACGCTGTGGGTTTCTTAGTCTCTTAGTCACATCTAGACATGCTGTGGGTGTCTCTTAGTCACATCTAGACACTCTGTGGGTGTCTAGATGTGACTAAGAGACACTCTGTGAGTGTCTCTTAGTCACATCTAGACACTCTGTGGGTGTCTCTTAGTCACATCTAGACACTCTGTGGGTGTCTCTTAGTCACATCTAGACACTCTGTGGGTGTCTCTTAGTCTCATCTAGACACTCTGTGGGTGTCTCTTAGTCTCATCTAGACACTCTGTGTGTGTCTCTTAGTCACATCTAGACACTCTGTGTGTGTCTCTTAGTCACATCTAGACACTCTGTGGGTGTCTCTTAGTCTCATCTAGACACTCTGTGGGTGTCTCTTAGTCTCATCTAGACACTCTGTGGGTGTCTCTTAGTCACATCTAGACACTCTGTGGGTGTCTCTTAGTCACATCTAGACACTCTGTGGGTGTCTCTTAGTCACATCTAGACACTCTGTGGTGTCTCTTAGTCACATCTAGACACTCTGTGGGTGTCTCTTAGTCTCATCTAGACACTCTGTGGGTGTCTCTTAGTCACATCTAGACACTCTGTGGGTGTCTCTTAGTCACATCTAGACACTCTGTGGGTGTCTCTTAGTCTCATCTAGACACTCTGTGGGTGTCTCTTAGTCTCATCTAGACACTCTGTGGGTGTCTCTTAGTCTCATCTAGACACTCTGTGGGTGTCTCTTAGTCACATCTAGACACGCTGTGGATGTCTCTTAGTCACATCTAGACACTCTGTGGATGTCTCTTAGTCACATCTAGACACGCTGTGGATGTCTCTTAGTCACATCTAGACACTCTGTGGGTGTCTCTTAGTCACATCTAGACACTCTGTGGGTGTCTCTTAGTCACATCTAGACACTCTGTGGGTGTCTCTTAGTCTCATCTAGACACTCTGTGGGTGTCTCTTAGTCTCATCTAGACACTCTGTGGATGTCTCTTAGTCACATCTAGACACTCTGTGGGTGTCTCTTAGTCACATCTAGACACACTGTGGGTGTCTCTTAGTCCCATCTAGACACACTGTGGGGCCATCTAGACACTCTGTGGGTGTCTCTTAGTCACATCTAGACACTCTGTGGGTGTCTCTTAGTCACATCTAGACACACTGTGGGTGTCTCTTAGTCACATCTAGACACACTGTGGGTGTCTCTTAGTCACATGTAGACACACTGTGGGTGTCTCTTAGTCACATCTAGACACACTGTGGGTGTCTCTTAGTCACATCTAGACACTCTGTGAGTGTCTCTTAGTCACATCTAGACACTCTGTGGGTGTCTCTAGTCACATCTAGACACTCTGTGGGTGTCTCTTAGTCACATCTAGACACGCTGTGGGTGTCTCTTAGTCACATCTAGACACTCTGTGGGTGTCTCTTAGTCACATCTAGACACACTGTGGGTGTCTTTTAGTCACATCTAGACACTCTGTGAGTGTCTAGATGTGACTAAGAGATACTCTGTGAGTGTCTCTTAGTCACATCTAGACACGCTGTGGGTGTCTCTTAGTCACATCTAGACACGCTGTGGGTGTCTCTTAGTCACATCTAGACACTTGTGGGTGTCTAGATGTGCTAAGAGACACTCTGTGAGTGTCTCTTAGTCACATCTAGACACTCTGTGGGTGTCTCTTAGTCACATCTAGACACTCTGTGGGTGTCTCTTAGTCACATCTAGACACTCTGTGGGTGTCTCTTAGTCTCATCTAGACACTCTGTGGGTGTCTCTTAGTCTCATCTAGACACTCTGTGTGTGTCTCTTAGTCACATCTAGACACTCTGTGTGTGTCTCTTAGTCACATCTAGACACTCTGTGGGTGTCTCTTAGTCTCATCTAGACACTCTGTGGGTGTCTCTTAGTCTCATCTAGACACTCTGTGGGTGTCTCTTAGTCACATCTAGACACTCTGTGGGTGTCTCTTAGTCACATCTAGACACTCTGTGGGTGTCTCTTAGTCACATCTAGACACTCTGTGGGTGGTCTCTTAGTCACATCTAGACACTCTGTGGGTGTTTCTTAGTCACATCTAGCACTCTGTGGTGTCTCTTAGTCTCATCTAGACACTCTGTGGGTGTCTCTTAGTCACATCTAGACACTCTGTGGGTGTCTCTTAGTCACATCTAGCCACTCTGTGGGTGTCTCTTAGTCTATCTAGACACTCTGGTGGTGTCTCTTAGTCTCATCTAGACACTCTGTGGGTGTCTCTTAGTCTCATCTAGACACTCTGTGGGTGTCTCTTAGTCACATCTAGACACGCTTGGAGTGTCTCTTAGCCACATCTAGACACGCTGTGGATGTTTCTTAGTCTCTTAGCCACATCTAGACACGCTGTGGATGTTTCTTAGTCTCTTAGCCACATCTAGACACTCTGTGGGTGTCTCTTAGTCACATCTAGACACTCTGTGGGTGTCTCTAGTCAACATCTAGACACTCTTGGGTGTCTCTTAGTCTCATCTAGACACTCTGTGGGTGTCTCTTAGTCTCATCTAGACACTCTGTGGGTGTCTCTTAGTTCACATCTAGACACTCTGTGGGTGTTCTTAGTCACATCTAGACACACTGTGGGTGTCTCTTAGTCACATCTAGACACACTGTGGGGTCTCTTAGTCACATCTAGACACTCTGTGGGTGTCTCTTAGTCACATCTAGACACTCTGTGGGTGTCTCTTAGTCACATCTAGACACACTGTGGGTGTCTCTTAGTCACATCTAGACACGCTGTGGGTGTCTCTTAGTCACATGTAGACACACTGTGGGTGTCTCTTAGTCACATCTAGACACACTGTGGGTGTCTCTTAGTCACATCTAGACACTCTGTGAGTGTCTCTTAGTCACATCTAGACACTCTGTGGGTGTCTCTTAGTCACATCTAGACACTCTGTGGGTGTCTCTTAGTCACATCTAGACACGCTGTGGGTGTCTCTTAGTCACATCTAGACACTCTGTGGGTGTCTCTTAGTCACATCTAGACACACTGTGGGTGTCTTTTAGTCACATCTAGACACTCTGTGAGTGTCTAGATGTGACTAAGAGACACTCTGTGAGTGTCTCTTAGTCACATCTAGACACTCTATGGGTGTCTCTTAGTCACATCTAGACACGCTGTGGGTGTCTCTTAGTCACATCTAGACACTCTGTGGGTGTCTAGATGTGACTAAGAGACACTCTGTGAGTGTCTCTTAGTCACATCTAGACACGCTGTGGGTGTCTCTTAGCCACATCTAGACACACTGTGGGTGTCTCTTAGTCACATCTAGACACGCTGTGGGTGTCTCTTAGTCACATCTAGACACTCTGTGGGTGTCTCTTAGTCACATCTAGACACACTGTGGGTGTCTCTTAGTCACATCTAGACACGCTGTGGGTGTCTCTTAGCCACATCTAGACACTCTGTGTGTGTCTCTTAGTCACATCTAGACACTCTGTGGGTGTCTCTTAGTCACATCTAGACACTCTGTGGGTGTCTCTTAGTCACATCTAGACACTCTGTGGGTGTCTCTTAGTCACATCTAGACACTCTGTGTGTGTCTCTTAGTCTCATCTAGACACTCTGTGGGTGTCTTTTAGTCACATCTAGACACTCTGTGTGTGTCTCTTAGTCACATCTAGACACTCTGTGGGTGTCTCTTAGCCACATCTAGACACTCTGTGTGTCTCTTAGTCTCATCTAGACACTCTGTGGGTGTCTCTTAGTCACATCTAGACACACTGTGGGTGTCTCTTAGCCACATCTAGACACTCTGTGTGTGTCTCTTAGTCACATCTAGACACGCTGTGGGTGTCTCTTAGTCACATCTAGACACACTGTGGGTGTCTCTTAGTCACATCTAGACACTCTGTGGGTGTCTCTTAGTCACATCTAGACATGCTGTGGGTGTCTCTTAGTCACATCTAGACACTCTGTGTGTGTCTCTTAGTCACATCTAGACATGCTGTGGGTGTCTCTTAGTCACATCTAGACACTCTGTGGGTGTCTCTTAGTCACATCTAGACACTCTGTGGGTGTCTCTTAGTCACATCTAGACACGCTGTGGGTGTCTCTTAGTCACATCTAGACACACTGTGGGTGTCTCTTAGTCACATCTAGACACTCTGTGGGTGTCTCTTAGTCACATCTAGACACTCTGTGGGTGTCTCTTAGTCACATCTAGACATGCTGTGGGTGTCTCTTAGTCACATCTAGACACGCTGTGGGTGTCTCTTAGTCACATCTAGACACTCTGTGGGTGTCTCTTAGTCACATCTAGACACTCTGTGGGTGTCTCTTAGTCACATCTAGACACGCTGTGGGTGTCTCTTAGTCACATCTAGACACACTGTGGGTGTCTCTTAGTCACATCTAGACACTCTGTGGGTGTCTCTTAGTCACATCTAGACATGCTGTGGGTGTCTCTTAGTCACAGCTAGACACGCTGTGGGTCTCTCTTAGCCACATCGAGACACGCTTTGAGTGTGCCTCTGCTACAGATGCAGAATAGCGTGTGGATTGCACGATGAATGAAATAATGATTGAAAGTTAGAATTCATGTAAGAACGAATGAAAATAAGTAAGAATTAATCAAAGTAAAAACGAATGGAGGTAAGAAGGAATGAAAGTGAGAATGAATGAAAGTGTGAATGAATTCGAGTAGGAATGAATGCAAGTGAGATTGAATGGACGTGAGGCTTAATGAGATGTTATTACCTCTTCATTGTCGGCCGTCTGCGCTTCCTGGCGGCGTAGAGGCTGGAGCTGAACATGCTGAACTCGGATGGGCTCTGCTGCTCTGTAGAATCTTGGATGTGTGTAATCTAAGCAACGTGTTCGTGCGTTTGCTGTAGCTGAACTAAGCTGTGAATATGTTTAACTCGTAAACACAGCGAGACTGACACGTGTTTAACATGTCGTGCAGACGTAGGAGATTGATGAGCACGTGATGTAACAACGCTCTGCACGTGTCGCCTTGCGTGTGATTACAGAGTAGCTCCTAAAACAACATCGCAACGTGTTGTGTTTATATTCAGTGAATTTAAATCATCCGAACGGATCCTCAATTGTGGTTCCTTGATATTCACTTTGTCGCGAAATGATCTCAACAAAAAAACACAAATCGACATCGCCCTGTCACAGACGTTGTTGGGGCATTCTTAGGACGACGACGACGATTCATCACTTCGACATTCTACGCTCGCGTCTCGCAATTAGCAGCTCATCACGCAGCATTAAGCCACACGACCGCCAGTCTCTCCCTCCCTATCTCCCTATCTCTCTGTCTTTTTGTCTCTCCCTCTCTATCTCCCTATCTCTCTGTCTCTCTGTCTCTCTGTCTCTCTCACAGGCGCCTTAACGCGACTCGAACGCATCGCACTGCATTGCACGCGTGTGTGTGAGCGCGCGTGTTTGTGTGCGTGTTTGTCTGTGTGTGCGTGTGTGTGCGTGTGGGCGTGTGTGTGAGCGCGCGTGTGTGTGCGTGTGTGTGAGCGCGTGTGGGCGTGTGCGTGTGTGTGTGTGTGCGCGCGTGTGTGTCTGTGTGTGTGTGCTGTGTGTGTGTTCTGTGTGTGTGTGCGCGTCTGTGTGTGTGTGTGTGTGCGTGTGTGTGTGTCTGTGTGTGTGTCTGTGTGTGTGTGCTGTGTGTGTGTCTGTGTGTGTGTGCGCGTCTGTGTGTGTGTGAGCGTCTGTGTGTGTGTCTGTGTGTGTGTGCTGTGTGTGTGTGCTGTGTGTGCGTCTGTGTGTGTGTGCGCGTCTGTGTGTGTGTCTGTGTGTCTGTCAGTGGCATGTGCGGGCCACTCGTGCTCAATCCGGCTACGCGTGATGATGTCGGTGTGATGTAACGCCGTCTGCCTGTATTGTGTTGCTTTACTATGTAGGTCGTTCGCTAGCAGCACTCGCCCCGGCAGCGTGTGCAGGCTACCCGGGGCTCCTCTGTCTGTGTATCTACGCAGGCCCGCTCCCTCGTTACAGCACCGCGCGTGTCGCCGCCGAAGTGGGGCATGGCAGGAGTGGAGTGGACCTCGTCGTCTGTCTGCGTGCGAGGCGCTCGCCCTGCGAGCAGCAGCAGCAGGAGGAGGAGGAGGTGGTGGTGGAGGTGGTGGTTGTGTTGGTGTTGGGTTGGTTGTGTAAGGGAAGGGGGTCTGATGGGAGGGGATGGGGGGGGGGTGCTGCTCTGAATCGCTCCGTGCCTTTTGATATTCGGTCGTCACGGCCAGTGACCAATATATCAACTCGTCCTGGGTCCTCCCCCTAGGTCGACTCAGCCTCAAACGAGCACCTGGCGCGGTGTGTAAACATCGCCGCTGGGGAAACAAAGGCGGCCGGGCGTGGTGCTGACCACCCACCCACTCGTGTGCCGTGCCGGCATTTACAGACGATCGCTAACAGCACTTGCCCCAACAGTCTCTTCAGGGCTACGCGGGGGATCTTTGTCTTAGTGTGAATGTTTATTAGCTGCGGGGGAGCGGTAGTGCAGCGGTTAGCGCGCTGCGCTACCAACCCGGCCACCTGAGTTCGATTCCCGTTCACGGTCAACACCGGTGACGATTATCTGAGTCGGTCCTGGACCTCCCCTAGGTCGACTGAGCCTAAAATGAGTAACTGTGGTATGTAAACATCGCCGCTGGGGAGACAAAGGCGGTCGGGCGTGGTGCTGACCACCCACCCCTCGTGTGTCATGCCGGCCTTCGTAGATACTCGCTAACAGCACTTGCCCCTACAGTCTGTTGCAGGCTACACGGGGGATCTTTGTCTCGTATTTTAGGATTCCCCGCTATACTGAGTGATGCAAACGCAGCAATGTGGCAGAAGTGATCGCATCTGAGTGAGTGGGTGGGTGAGCGAGTGGGTGAGCGAGAGGGTGACTCAGTGGGTGAGTGTGACGGTGAGTGTGCACAGTGGTGAATTCGGGTGATACAATCTGAGTGAGTGGGTGGGTGAGTGGGTGAGTGACGCAGTGGGTGAGTGGGTGAGTGGGTGGGTGATTCAGTGGGTGAGTGTGGAGGTGAGTGTGAAGGTGAGTGTGCACAGTGGTGAATACGGGTGATACAATCTGAGTGAATGAATGGGTGAGTGGGTGGGGTGGGGTGACTCAGTGGGTGAGTGGGAGGGTGAGGGTGCACAGTGTGCAGCACAGGTGGTGCATCTGTCAGTCATCGCAGTCAACCCATGGCACCGGGGTCTGCCCCGTGACCTCCTGCCAGCACAGAGCCTTCCAGACTGGCGGCTCCAGGTGCACCTAGCCTGGCACAAACTCTGCGGTGCGCATTCACCTGGAACTCATAATCATGCGTTTAAACGCACGCTTGGCCACGTACGGTGCGAAAGAAGTTCAACACGCGATCAAATTCCACGCCGCGACGACCTGCCGGCCATCCGTGATGGGCAGGTCGTCCTGAACCGAAGAGCTTCATGGCTCAGTAGCGGGGCCCTTGCCTGGTCTCATGAAACTAAACAACAAAATAATATGTTTTATAGTTTAGCTGAGCACACGCGTGCCTTACTGTGGGTTTACCACGACTTTTGTGATCACCCCCCCCCCCCCCCGAATCATCTCGGCGAGGCTCAGCCCCCCCCTCCCCTTTGGCGGCGCTTCGTGCATTTACAAATCGTCTTCAAGAGTCGCCAGCATCGCGGCCGATGGGCTGACCCAGCGGGCGCTCAGGCCCCCCCCCCGCCCCCCCCGTGAGAATCTGCGATTCTCCACCGAGGCTGCAGCCTGCACCGCCGTGCGGCTCCCAGGGCGGGCGTCTCGCGCGAGCCGGGGGCGCCGGGGGCGCCGGGGGGCAGCCCGCGGCGAGGAGCCCTGGGACGGGGCCCCCCTCCAGCCGCGCGCCGCTGCTGCTGCTGCCCACCACGCTGCTGCTGTCGCTGCTGCTGCCGCTGCTGCTACCGCTGCTGCTGCGTTGGCGTCTTCTGCGCCCCCCGACCTCGGCCAGCGTGGCCAGACGCACGCCGCTGGCCCCGCGGGTCACCGCTGGCAGGGAGATCCTGCCTGGTGGTGTTGATGATGATGGTGATTATGGTGGTGATGGTGATGATGATGGTGGTGGTGATGATGGTGGTGATGGTGATGATGATGGTGGTGATGGTGATGATGATGGTGATGATGGGTGATGGTGATGATGATGGTGATGATGATGGTGATGATGATGGTGGTGATAGTGATGATGATGGTGATGATGATGGTGATGATGATGATGGGTGTGTAGATGGTGATGATGGTGATGATGATGATGGTGGTGATGGTGATGATGGTGATGATGATGGTGATGATGGTGGTGATGATGATGATGGTGATGATGATGGTGGTGATGATGGTGATGATGATGGTTGATGATGGTGATGATGATGGTGATGATGTTGGTGATGATGATGATGGTGATGATGATGATGGTGGCTGATGATGGTGATGATGGTGATGATGATGATGGTGATGATGGTGATGATGGTGATGATGGTGATGGTGATGATGATGGTAATGATGATGATGATGGTGGTGATGATGATGATGATGATGGTGACGATGGTGATGGTGGTGATGGTGATGATGGTGATGGTGATGAGATGGTGATGATGGTGGTGATGGTGATGATGATGGTGATGATGATGGTGATGATGATGGTGGTGATAGTGATGATGATGGTGATGATGATGATGTTGATGATGATGATGGTGGTGGTGATGATGGTGATGATGGTGATGATGATGATGGTGGTGATGGTGATGATGGTGATGATGATGGTGATGATGGTGGTGATGATGATGGTGGTGATGATGATGATGATGGTGATGATGATGGTGGTGATGATGGTGATGATGATGGTGATGATGGTGATGATGATGGTGATGATGTTGGTGATGATGATGATGGTGATGATGATGATGGTGGTGATGATGGTGATGATGGTGATGATGATGATGGTGATGATGGTGATGATGATGGTGATGATGGTGATGGTGATGATGATGGTAATGATGATGATGATGGTGGTGATGATGATGATGGTGACGATGGTGATGGTGGTGATGGTGATGATGGTGATGGTGATGATGATGATGGTGATGATGGTGATGATGGTGATGATGATGATGGTGATGATGGTGATGGTGGTGATGATGATGGTGGTGATGATGGTGATGATGATGATGGTGATGATGGTGATGATGGTGATGGTGGTGATGATGATGATGGTGATGATGGTGATGATGATGATGATGGTGATGATGGTGATGATGGTGATGGTGATGATGGTGATGGTGGTGATGATGATGATGGTGGTGATGATGGTGATGATGGTGATGATGATGATGGTGATGATGGTGATGGTGGTGATGATAGTGGTGATGATGATGATGGTGGTGATGGTGATGATGGTGATGATGATGGTGATGATGGTGATGATGGTGGTGATGGTGATGTTGATGATGATGGTGATGATGGTGGTGATGATGATGTTAAAGTGGCCCAGCTCCCAGTGGCTTCCTCATATCAGAAGGAAGAAGCGTTCCAGACGGCCGCAGCAGCAGCAGCAGCAGTGCGTCTGGAAGCGCCGCGCGATGATGGCGGTGGTCGACACTCCACGCCGGTGTGACGATGGTGGCTCATCTGTGACGTTGGTGGTGCCAGCCACCGATGACTGGACACATTTAACACTTAACGATAATAACAATAATAGTTTTGGCACTTAATATTGCTGGACTACATGGATGAGAATGTCAAATGTCGGTCTTGACTGTGGTGTCAAACATCAAACTGTCGCGTTATAGGGCGGGCGAGGGGACGTGCTGCCCTCTGCTGTTGTGAATTATTGGGGGAAAGGGAATCTCAAAGGGAAGCTCTGTCGCATTCACCCTGTCTCATTCACTCTGCCACATTCACTCTGTCTCATTCACCCTGTCTCATTCACTCTGTCTCATTCACTCTGCCACATTCACTCTGTCTCATTCACCCTGTCACATTCACTCTGTTCCATTCACCCTGTCACATTCACTCTGTTCCATTCACCCTGTCTCATTCACCCTGTCGCATTCACCCTGTCGCATTCACCCTGTCTCATTCACTCTGTCTCATTCACCCTGTCTCATTCACCCTGTCACATTCACTGTCTCATTCACTGTCTCATTCACTCTGTCTCATTCACCCTGTCACATTCACTGTCTCATTCACCCTGTCACATTCACCCTGTTCCATTCACTGTCGAATCCACTCTGTCACATTCACTTTGTTCCATTCACTCTGTCACATTCACTCTGCCACATTCACTCTGTCGAATCCACTCTGTCGCATTCACTCCGCCGCATAAAGACAAATATCCCCCACATAGCCTTAACAGACTGTAGGGGCAAGTGCTGTTAGCGAGCACCTATGAAGGCCTTGAAACGGTTACACGAGGGGGTGGGTGGCCACAGCACCACGCTGACCACCTTGTCTCCCTAGCGGCGATGTTTACACATCGCACCAGGTACTCATTTGAGGCTGAGTCCGACCTAGGAGAGGCCCAGGACCGGTTCAAATAATCGTCACTGGTGTTTTCCGTGAGCGGGATTCGAACCCGGGTCGCCAGGTTCGTAGTGCAGCGCAGCGCTAACCTCTACACCACTGCTCTGCCACATTCACTCTGTCACATTCACTGTATCATTCACTCTGTCACATTCACTGTATCATTCACTTTGTCACATTCACTCTGCCACATTCACTCTACGACATCCGCTCTGCGTGGGGCCATTCTTCACCAGCAAGACCACGGTCGCTACAGCGCCGCGGGAGGAACACCTTTCAATCGGAGAAGCGACAGCGTCCGTGACGGCCTTTGTATCCAGACGGCGATGGGTCATGATGATGGTGCTGAGACTGCGAGAGGCAGAACCTTGGGCAACAGCCGAGCGATCCGGCAGAAGGAAGGAAGCGACGGCGAGGTGTTGTTGGCGTCCGGCGAGTCTTCAACTGACCTGGCCACGCTCGAGGCTTCTCGCGAAGGCAAATCGGGTCTCTGCGAGGGCGTTCTGTGCAGGTCGAGAAGGGTATCCTCTTGATTGAGCTTTCGTGACAGCAAGGATTCATACTCTTTGGTTTTTTCGGTAAATTCACGTAGGTAAAAAATTGTAATGACATAATGAAACAACTAAACTAAATCACGACGTTTCGGGCGCAACACAAGCGTCCTTCTTCAGGTCGGACAACGTAGCGATTGTGCTTTCGCTACGTTGTCCCACCTGAAGAAGGACGCTTGTGTTGCGCCCGAAACGTCGTTGTTTAATTTAGTTGTTTTCATTATTTCATTTAATTTTCTACCTACGTGACTTTACCGAAAAAACACCAAAGAGTCTGGGTATCCTCTTGTACGGCAAAGTCCTCGCCGAACGCATTGTCGGTGCTCGCACCATCACGCGTTGTTGCTCTATGCCCCCCCCCCCTCCCGTTATAATGCGAAACGCTCCCCCTCCCCCCCCCCATTATCACGTGGGATGCCCCCCCCCCCCCCGTTATAACGCGGTTTCTGAGCGGTCAACGGCGAACTACTTTCTTGAGCCGCAACGCCATCCCACTTGCATGGCGAGCGTGGCGGCAGCGGTAGCAGCAGCACACCGCGTCTCGCCCAACTTGAAGCAAAAGGTTTGGGACGCGTCTGACAATTACATCGGAGACATCGGAGCAGGCGTAGCTTTATTGGTACCGGCACAACGTCCGCGTGGGTTCGTCTCACTTTCCCGCAGCGTCTCGTAATCTGCCGTGTGGCATTTCTGTCAAATTCGCATTGTGAGTTGGTGCTGCACGTTAAACGCGTCTTGTAATAACGATGATATTTCTTTTGGGTTAGATCGCGTAAATGTATAAATGTGTCGTTAAACCCGCCCACCATCCGACACTGAGGTTATGGCAGTACAACAATGAACTCATCTGCAAGGAGCTTTGATGCCACCCTCTAGAATCGTGGGTTGTTGCTGGGTACTCTGATTCCTCCCACATGACACCAAATAAAGTGTCATTAAACCCCGCCACCACCCAACACAGCCAACTAGTGAGGGTTGTCACGTAAACAGAACGTGCCAAATTCGTCACTAGTACAGCACTAACTGGTGTATTGGAAAGCCAAGCCACAACATTTACAATCTGAGTACGACATTCCGCCAGTAATTATAACCGGCATCATCAGGCGACAGACAGATTTGTACTCGATATACCCCAAAAACCTATATCATGGATGATATTGGTCGTGAAAGCCTACGTGTAAAACTGACGTCTTGTAATATAATAATGCTGAACATTCGCGATTATATTTCTAGTTAGGCTATAGAACAAGCAGCCTCTACAAAGCAACAAACGAGGATTCGTGTCGATGATTGTCGATCGTCGTTTGCCCGCTTGAGATTTGATTTCAATTCTTCATCCTCCGCCTCCGCTCTCCGCGTTTACCCGATGTCCACTTCAACATCGGTGCTCATGACGATGCTCTTGCAAAGACAACGGACGACAGTGATCAATTATTGCCGACGAGAACATCGCGATGATTTTGATATCCCCCCCCCCACGGCGCGCACCTCCGATGAGCACGTTGGCT